CTCTGAAGGGCTGCTGTAGGACGTAGTCAAAGGAGTGGCTTCCTAGCTCCTTGGCACGGGGTTCAAGGTTGACTCAGGGGAAGCAGTGGAGTCCCTGAGATGCCCCAATTTTGGGAATTGGCTACGAGTCTGAGGCCTTTATGCTGCAGTTTGTAAGCAGGGCTGCCAGGGTGAGGTCGGCCCCTAATCAGGTGGGAAAAAGCTGGCTACGGTGTCAGGCTCACCCTTCCTCTCCCCTTCAGCTCTTGGCTGGAGTTTCACAAATCCCAGGCTGGCCATGCTCCGCCTCCTTCTTTTTGGTTCAAGTCTGGATTCCAAATGCACCAGATGACTGGGGCCACCATCCCATCCCAGACACCATAAAGTCAGCTCACTTTTTTGGGGGACCTGGCCTTACATGCTTCCAGCCAGCACTCAGGTACCTGGCTCCACCCCTGGCAGTCAGAGGTGCTCTGTCACCATCTAGTGGTGTCCCAAGGCTGTACACCCTGTGCATTGTGGGTAGGAGGGATGGGTGCTAAGAAATACTGTACCTGTGAATTTATTGCTTTCTTAATCAAAGATAGTGTTTTTGTGGGAGGTTTCCTGGACTACAGGAAGACAATTTTAATCTGAATTAAAGCTTTATTCTCTGCTTGGGGCTTTGAGAACTCTGGTGGAAGCCTGAGCCTTCTACAAATATAAAGGACGTCATGGACAGGGACAGCTGGCACACCAACAGGAGGGTGGTGTTTTATTATAGGAAATCTTACGGCATCGAGAAAGCGGATTACTGAAGTCCCCACCCCCACCCTGCTCTGACCTTCAGGGAAAAATGAAGCAAAAGCCTTGATGTGGCTTCACATTTGCATTTGCTTGGTCATGGCTGGGGGCCCTTCAAAGACTTTCCTTCTTCTAACAGGGCACTAAACGCTTGCCAAGGGAAGCTGGCATGCTGTGAGGCAAATTTGATTTCTTTCTTCTAGACTGGCTTTGTGGAGGGGGCATGGAGTTAGCGAGGATGCCCAGAGGTGGGCCAAACACAGACCAGCCTTGACTTCTGGGCATGAGAGCCTTGTTCTTCCCACGTGGCTCTTCCTCAGCAACACACAGACCAGCGTCCCTCACTCTCCAAGGGCACTGGGCTTCTTTATCTCTTCTAATTCTCGTCTTAACATAGCCCTGCTCAGTCACTCACACATTCATTCAGGTCATCCCTTCATTCAGTCAGCACTCCCTCTTTCCAGGCTCAAACCATCTGATCCTTGTCAGCAGGAACACCTGGCCCAGGATTGGAGACAGGCTGGAAAAGAGAGGGGTAGAGACCACTGTGGTTCCTGGGTGCAAAAGGCTATCAAAGCTCTCTGGGGTGGGGGGCAAAAGACTTTCCAGAGAACTTCATCAGTAAGTTAGTCTAGGAAATGAAGAGAGTGTTTGGGGCTATGACTTAGCAGGCCCCTACCCCCCTTTCTCCTCACCCCCAGTCATTGCTTGCTGTCATACCTAAAATTATTTCTTCAGTCCTTATTTACAAGTGTTTGCTATATTGGGTCTGTCTTATTTTTCTAACCTGACATCTTAAAAAATATCCCTGTGCTGCCATTATGTTGCTTTCTCTGTTTTGGCACAAATGTACTGCTGGTCTCATCCCTAGGTGATAATGTTCCTTTCTGTCTACCTGAGACCCACACTTCCTCCAAGCTTCTCCTGTTTAGGGTTCCATCCCTGAACCCTTAGACAGAAATTATTATCTTACTAAATGCTGAATGTCTTTCATTTCTCACTTTTTATTTTTGACAAAGATATCCCACCTACCTTTCCATGACTGTCTCTGAAACTCTTACTCAAAATAAGAGCACTTTCCCTCCATGTGACTAGAGTCTCATTTGTACAACGGGGATGATGGCCCTTTGACTTGTGCCACCTTCTACATATATACTCTTGCCATCATCTCTCCTGTTAGGGAGCAGGTCTCTCTAGGGTGGCAACTCTGGGCTTCTCTGAATTTTTTGTCTTTGGTGTCCTCTTGTCTTGCCTAGGCTCTGCAAATCAACCAGGTCTTTCATGTATTGTAGTTGGTTGAGAGAGAGCAGAAGTTCCAGCCTCTGCCATGAGTTAGCCACTTGAAAATGCAGTGTCTCCCTTCCAAAAGTAGACAGTTGGTTCCCTGAGACACAGTTCTGTACCTCACTTCCCCACCATTAATGAAGTGACGGCCAACACCAAGGAATGAGACCAAGGAATAAGGGCTCTGGTTACATCAGACACAGAGCTGCAGCTTGTCCACTAGAACAGTGACACAGATTGAAAGAATCTGCATCAGAATGAAAGAATCAAGGTGACAGAGTATTGAAGAAAAAGTCTTAAGAGGGCAGATCTTTCCTAAATCAAACGATGACTAGAAAGGCTGAATGAAATTAAGTTCTAATTATGGACTGAAGGCTGTACATGGAGAGAGAATTGGCTCTCTTCAAGCAGTGGTGTATTGTGGGTGATTTTCCAATATCCATACTACTCCTGTCCCACTGGGTAATAGTAATGCATTTTGGGGACTGACACTAAGGGGTAGTCCTGATTGACCTATGAACTTTCCTATATCCCTTGCCATCTGACTCAATTATAGCCAATGAGACATGAAGGAAGAGCAGCTAGAAGCTTCTGGAAGGTTCTTTGTTGCTCTCAAAAGAATAATGGCAGCCATTCTCACTTGCCAGCCATGAATGAGGAAAAATGTGCCTGATTACCAAAGCCTAACAAACTTTAAAGGCACCTTTCAATTTCAGAAGTGAAATTGAAAGGCATCACCTTTGGTGACACTAGTGTGTCTGAACTCCACATTACATGGGCTGGTGAATTTGAGATGTGTTTTCTGTTACCTTGTGGATAGTTTCCCTGTCCTGAGGGCCCCTCAGTTCCTACAGAAGAGAGCCATTCATGTCTACTTCTCTTAGTAGGAAGAGGTGATACTGACAAGACCTAAGTAATTTCCGTTTACACTGCTTCAAAGAGAGAGACAGGCTGGCTATGCTGGGAAGCACCAGGAAATGTAGCAAGAGCCAAGCAGGTGGCTTTGCCCCTCACAGTGTGCTTTTGTTTGCTCCAAATCCCAGGCTTCTGTCACATGCCTGCTCTTCATTCTTCCAGGAAGCCCTCTGGCTGCCAATCGAGCCCCAGCTGAGAACTCCAGCAGCGAGGCAAATCCCTTCCCCCCCTACTTGCTATTCACCAGGCGGGAGCAGCGTTTCTGGGCACACCTGCAGAGTCCAATCAAATCAAGGGCACTTCATTTGTATTCTGCTGATTGGAAGGAATCTTGGCCAAAGCCAGAAGCAAACTTCAAGCCTTTTGCTTGGAGTTCAGGCTGGGGAGTGGTGTGTGCACATCAGGGTATGCCTGGAAGGTGGTACACACATGGCGTAGTAACACCGACAGGGGCAGATATGGACACTGCTCCCAACTGGAATCCTTGGTTGTTTTCAAGTCTCTCTGTGCTATTTTATTGTGAACCTGAACAGGGTCTAATGCAGGATCAGGCCAGTGTACCAAGAGTCCTTAGGAACAGGCAGTGCACTGTAGGAGACTGCACTACTGCTGTTGACCACTAGAGAGCAGTAACACAGTGACTCCTTGGGTGCTCAAAGGACCCACCAACTACCAGATTCATACAGCCCAGTGAACAGACTTTCAAGAGCCAGCTGCAGAGCATCAGCCAAGCTTTGCAGTCCTCTGAGCACAGGCTTGCATTACTGCACAAGCTACAAGGACATGAAGCTGGCCCTGGCTCCGAGGCCTCCAGGACTCCCTGTGGTCAGGCAGGTGTTAACAGTGTTCAGGACAGTACAGTCACCTCCAGGCAGCTCAACTATCTACTGCCTGCTTGTCGGTCCTTTCCTTCCAGTGCCCTGCTGACTCGGTGCACAATACTTGGAAGAAATTATGTTTTCAGAGAAAGCCAGTGCAGTATCACTTCCACAAAAGAAGGTGTACAGTTTCCCAACTGCTAGCAATTTATCTCAGGAAGGGGGAGACCCTTCAGAAACCAAACACAGGGAATCTGAATGCTGCAAATTTAGTTTTAGCTAAGGCTCCTCTTTGCTTCTAAAATACCAGTCAACCCTTCATTTTTGTATTCAAAGCAGCCAGCATTTTCCAGAATGTTTACAGGCACCTGGGAGAGCTGTGCAGAGTTGGCTCTAAGGTCCTGGCCAATGTTTACAATCCCGTGTCTAAGTGCTACAGGTGGGGCTGGGGAAAGCCCTGGTGAGAGTCAGAAGTCTAAGCTACAGTGGGACCCTTCTCTGGCCTTCATCCCTCCCACTGTAAAATGGCATCTCCCCTGCCCTGGCCTGTCCAGCTGGAACACCCTACCCTTCACTTGCAGAGAGTGTGTAGCTGAGACAGACCAGGCTAATGAGAAGTTAATTGGGAAACAAAGGTGACTTAGCTGATTGACAAGCTAAGTAGGAGGAGGTAAGGAGCACTCTTTTGAGTTAGGGAGGACCATATCTGCTGGTCCTCACTGGATGGGGAAGAAGCTAATGTTTACAAAGCATAACTCCAGTACACACTAAGCATATGATGAGTGCCAAGCACTTTGCTTGAAAAAGGCAAGTGAAGTCGAAGTTCACCCCGTATGGGCTCTGTGACCTTGGGCACATCCCCTAATTCCTGTGGGTCTCTTGTTTCCCAGGTATACAGAGAAGAAATTGGATAGAGAATTGGATAGAAGAAATGATCCTTTTATTAAAGGATCATTCTAAAACAAGTTTTAGGATTCACTGAGGTCCAATCAAATGTCACATAAGACATAAGAGGTTATCTAGCAGTGACAGGTATTTTCTGTGCCCAAAGCCTTTTTTCTGAGGAAATAATGTCTGAGCAGAATGAGGGCATGAGTGGCCCCATGTGAACTTCTGCTCTCTCACCGCTCGGCAACTCCTCTCTCCACTGCTGCCTCTTGGGAGGCACCCATGGAAACTCAGGGAGTTATGCAAGAGGCTCTGAGCCATGCCAGCACCTACCCTTCTCTTTGGTACTCTTCATCCAGATTTGACAGGAGCTGTGAGCCCGCCGTGGAGAGGTCGACAGCAGCCAGGGGCAAGTCTCGATAGGCAAAATTCACCAGCTGCACGGGAGGAATGCTCTTGGTGTCTTCATCTATGTGCTGAGAAATGATCTCCACTTCGGAAATTCCTCCTTCAGTGGCGGGCCTGAGATGGAGAAGAGGAATGACAGAACGTATTTCTTCTGTTCCTCCTTCAGGAGGGGAGGACAAATCTGTGCTGTGCTGTGGAGGCTGGAAAAGCACAAGGTTGCCATTCTTCCCCATGGCCAGCCAAGAATTGGACCAACGCCCCAACCAGACCCCTCTTCTTTACCAGTTGGGTGAATGGAAGAATGGGAATTGTTCAGATCTGAATGTACAAGCATTGGGGCCAGGTCCTTTATCAAGGGAGGCAAAGACCCAGAGGATAACTGCCAACCAAAAGCGTGGCATAGATTTCCAGGACCCTCGGTCACTGTGCTTTAACTTGGAGTAATATATTTAAAATTGTCTCATGGGGTTCTTTGTAAAGGTTCTTTGCAATGGTCCCATCATTTGTACAATAGAGAAGAGATGTTTTTGTTCACAACTGGACATACTATCAATGGCTGGGCACCTCCCTGGGGACTTGGAGACTGTGTGGGTCTTCGGGGAAGGAGAGCACAGGAGAGCCAGGGTGCCACCCCCTTCCCACTTGACTGCTCCTACCACATCTCCCTTTCTATGGCTGGGAGTAGGAAATGAGAGTCACCTGATCAAAGGTCTGAAGAGTCACGGACCCCTACTACGTCACTGTCAGGCTTGTCTTGGGCACTGCAAATGATCCACAGCTCTGCTGGCATCACAGGAGGCCCCAGCCAGGAGCAGTACTGCCTCCCAACCCCCCAGGGGATATTTGTGGATGCACTTTTGGCTCTCATTTTTGACATGAGAGTAGGGGTGCGGACATTACACATCCTGCAAGGTGTTTAACAATTATTTATTGTCCTGACAACACTAACAGAAACCCTCTTGAGAGGTGCTGGGCTGGGTAATTTTGCTTTTCCTTTCTAAGGCACCATCTTTATTCCCTCCAACACACCCTCGGCCCCATCTTGTCCCATAGAAACTGAGGGGCTGAGTTTTGTGCCTCTGATCAAACCATGAGGGTTAGAAAGGAAAACAGTATGAATGGAGAGGAATATTTGCAGGAACAATGAGGGTCAGTGCCAATACTGAGGTGACAGCCCAGTCTACTATAAACTGTTCTTGGCTCTGGTGGCAACTCTAATGCCACCTTTTGTGGGGTTCAGTTTCTCCAACTGAAACATCTTCTTGCTCTGTGGTTTGACATGATATAGGAAACATGGAGTGGGTGGGAGGAGATCTGGAGTGGCAAACCTTGCTACTTGGTTGGGGAACTCTAAATTCTAAAGCCTCCTTCGGCCTTCAAAACCTGACAAAGTAGCAGTTATCCAGGCAGTTCAGAGCTGTGTCTGTCTACCTCTTTTTCTTGGATCATCCAGAAAACTGAGGAAAGGTGGGATCTTTATTTGAGTGGCACAGGTTGGGCTATCTAGACGACCTGAATTCACCAAGTAATTCCCAATGCCCCAGTTCTCTTTCGTAGGCTTTCTTTAAACCTTTGCTTTCTGCTACCTGTCAAGTACAGATAATAATACTCATCACTGTGTGACATTTACAAAATGACTCAAGATCTTGAGACAGAACAGTCATACGATGTGCGGCTTCTGTGTTTTTCAACAATTGATATAAAAGTGTGGGTGTTTATGGGGGAATCCCAGTGCCTCCAAATGTTTCCCAAAAAGTACATGCTGGGTTGAATTTGTTCTTTTCTTTTCAAGGGACTATTCAAGGAAACTATGGATTTTTGAAATGAACAAATAGAATTTTCTGATCAATGGGTGTTCACCGAGAAGTGGAGTGAATTTCTGGTATTAATAGGACACATCTCTGAAAAGCATGGGGCAAATTACTTCTATCTTCCTAAATTTCTCATCCTCCAGTCCTGTTCTGCCAATGGTCATGGTGGCCAGCTACATCTGTGACCACATGGAGACAAGATGTCCTTGGTGGGAATCTTCTGAAGGTTCCCACAGTTCATGGCCTAAGTACTGAGACTACACCCTGGTCTTGATATGAAGAGAATGATAGGCAAAATGTGTGCATGGCTGCATTCTTTGCTCCTCCTCGGAGGGTAAAAATGCCCCTCTTCGCCCCCTTTTTCATGTGACTTTGCACCTCCTCCCATCAAAAGGAAGAACATGTTTCCCCAACCCTTGATTCTGCATTCAGTCATGCGACTTGCTTTGGCCAGGCATGACATTTATGGGGCATGGAAGAGCACCTGTGAACTTCTGTGTTGCTTTTGTTTCGGTGGTACTGGGGATTTGAACTCAGGGTCTTGCACTTGCAAGGCAAGCACTCTACCACTTGAGTCACACCCCTGGTCCTCGCATTTGTGATTTTGTGCTTGTGCTTGACACCTCCGTCAGCATTAGCGTGAAGAGCTTAGGAGACACACTGAACAGGGTCCAGTCTTACCTAGACCAGCTGTTGGCTGCCCAGCACCACACTGAAGGATGACCTAGAGCCATCTAGCTGATCACCCCAACATATGAGCGATAAACATTGTTGTGTTCTGGTCAGGCTGGTTGTCATACATCCCTACTATCCTGTATCTTGTGCTCCAGATGACAGAGTAGCCAGGCCTACAGCTAGAAAGGCTAGGATAGTGTGGTGTAATAAATAGAAGAAGTATTATTCTTATTTTAGAAATCTTACCAGTGAGCTGCAGAACACAGAATAAATTCTCACCTGGTCACTTACCAAGCTGGTGCTGAGTAAGATGCAGTGGCCCATCCACACAGTGTCTTGGGTTTGACAACTAAAAGCCATTCTCCCTTAAGAGTCCTGTCTCTGGTCTTGTGAAGCTGACTTTTCTTGTAATTTCCATTTTTTAAAATATGTCCTAAGCACTTCCTAATCTTGTTTTGAGTTTTGCTTTGGAAATGTTCCCCCCTTTTATGAGGCCTCCTGCTAAAGGAAGTGTGTACTGCGGTTGCCTGAATTAGAAAATCCCTGTCTCTGGGTTGCTGACAGCAGAATTCTGGTTCCAGATTGCAGGCCAGTGGTACTTACTGTGGATTGGTCATGTTGAAAGAAGCCTCCAGAGCCATGAGTTTGCTGTCTAGTGGGGCTCAGCTGTCCTGATGCCTGCTGTCAGCATTTCCAAGCGTGGGTTCTACAAGCCACATGTAAATGTAGTGCCCTGAAAACATAAGCAGGAATTTATCACCTAAAATGGGATTACTCAGCACTTTCTCCCACATACACTCTTCTTCACAGTAATGTTGAATAGATTCTTCTAGTAACCTTACAGAGGGGTAACAATAGGCATAATTTTCTTCCTTTCTTTCTTTGTGTGTCTCTCTCCCTGTCTCTTTCTTTGAGATGAGAATATAGGACCAGAGTGACAAAGTGACTTTTCTATGTTCCATAGAGATAGTGGCACAGCCAGGTTAAACCCCAAGTTTTCTGACTTCTTTTTCATAGCTCTTTCCACTAAGCTGCTGTGTCCTCCAAACCCAGCATAAAGTATAGTTGTGTCTCTCTATTCTTCTTGGCTTTTCTCTCCTCTTAATTGTGTTTTCAATGAGAGCCAGCTGAGAAGATAAGAGGACAGGTCCTGTGGCCAGATTGCCTATGGTCAGAGCCTCATTGCTGCTTACTCCCTGGCCTCAGTTTTCTCCACCTACAAAATGGGGATAAAAATAGAACTATGCATAATAAGCACTGCATAAGTGTTGGCTTTGTATTATTACCATTTTCTATAAATTAAAATTGTACAATTTGTTGAACCTGAGCACATTCCAGAAAACATTTGGATGGTTGGACACATTTTTCCTCCTGACATTTAGTTAAGGTAAACAGAATATACTTTCCATCAAACAATGTGACAGTACCACCTAGAAGTCTTCTGGGAGACTGTACAACTCAGCAGAAAGTACTCAGACAAGAGACAGACCTGTTTCTGGGTAATTTTGAACAAGTCATTGGGGAGGTGACTCAAAGGGCCAATCCTTTTGCAAGTGGCATTTTACTCAAGTAGCTGTTCCTACAAGATACCAATAAAGGATCAAATCCACACTCCCCATCTGAAGCTCAGACCCACTATGGAGACAAATGCGGAAGCTAGGTACACCACACAGGAGGAAAACTGCTCCCAGGGCCCAGTACCAGGGGATCATGACCACTGGGCAAGGGGAGAAGGTCCCAGGAGCTCTGTGAAACTAAGAAAAGAGAGTGCCCCAGCTCAGGACGCCCAAGTATCCCTGAGAAAGTCTGAATTACAGCAGCCGGAAGCAGAACATGGCACTCTCTAAAATTGGAAGGAACTCAAGATAGGAAGTCATCAACCATGTCTACATCAAGGTTTGTAAAGGGGAAAGGAGAATTTGGACAGACATTTTGTGGACATACCTCACTAAGGATTCACCTTGGCTCAGGAGAGCAAACCACTATACCCAAACTCTCCTCTGTAGCATCTGGGATTGTGCATTAATTGTACAGAAAACATTATAAATTTCTCCATTTCATAGCACAGATTTGATCAGTTTTGATTTTTTGTTTGTTCTCTTTATAAGGTAGCAAAGTCTTTCAAGTATTAACATTGACCACATGGATTGGCTAACCTCAGTTGACAGGGAAGTCAGGCTGGGAGTGACCACAACTGGGAGGCAGGAGACAAATACCCCTTTTGAAAATGGTGTCTTAACAAGCTGTGTTCCCAAACCAGCATCTGATATACTATAAAGGTACTTCCCTGTGTGGGATGTAATAGGAAGACCCTCCAGTGTGGCTGGGTAGGCAAGTTTAATGAACAGAGCTCAAAACTTTCACATAACCTAACTAGTGAAGAACAGGTAAAAACAGACAAATCTAGATTTATAAATAATAAATATGAGCAACTGAACCAATATATTATAACTAATATATATCTTTTTTTGGGGGGGAGAGTGACAGAGGGGTTTGAACTCAGGGCCTCACACTTGCTAGGCAGGTGCTCTACCACTTGAGCCACTCTACCAGCCCTATTATGACCAATATAAAACACACACAAAAAGTTGAGAAGTGATGAATTGAACTCAGGACCTCACACTCAATCCACGCCCCTAGTCCTTTTGCTTGCGTTTTTCAGATAGGCTCGCTAGATAACTTTTCCTGGGTTGGCCTTAGACCACAATTCTCCTACCTCCACCTCCCATGTAACTGAGATTACAGGTGTGTACCAACGTGCCCAGCCCTTCAAATATATACACCTCAGAGAACTGTACAGTGGATCTCCAGTTCCTCTAACCAACCTGAAGAGTGGTCATCTCATCATAGTCTTGTTTTCTTTATATCCCTGCCCAACCTCTGCCCCTCACGATTATTTTGAAATAAATCCTAGACATTATCCTATTCATCTATAAATATTTCAATATGTACCTCTAAGGAGGAGGAGGAAGTCCTCAACACTATACCACAAAACTATCGTCACCCCAAGTCAACAATATTGACTTGTTACTATCATCAAATATCTCCACATTATTCACTTTTCCCTGTTTGTCCTGGAATTTTTAGAGATTTGTTAGGCCAGGACCAAAATGAGAATCATACATGATGGCTGGCTAATGATTCTTGAATTTAATTTAGTCTGTACGTTTTCCCTTGATCAAATTGATCCTGTGGAATGTACTGGAAAAACTGATTGTTTGTTTCACACGGTTATCCATGGCCTGGACTGAGATGATTGTCTCCTTTTATTGGTGTCTAACATGTACCTCTGTTCCCTATGTTTCCTATAAATTTTAATTAATCTACAGACTTTAAACGGATTCAAATTCACTTTTTGTAAGACCTTATGGGTGGTGTCCTAACTTCCAATATGATATATGACATCTTCTTGTCCCTCTGTTTACATTAAAGTCAGTGATGATTTCTTCCTAGATCCATTAATTCACCAGGATTTGCCAAATGGTATAAACTTAATGTTACCATTCTTCATTAATCAACTTCTATTAAGACAAATTTTCATCTGTGATTTAATTAGCCTAGGGTACAGTTCATACAGAGAAAGAAGGACAAATGCTTAATTCTCCCCCTTTATTGGTTTTCAAAACTTGGGCTCTCATCAACTGGTGGGCGAGGATTCTGCATTTTTAGCACCTCATGGTTGTTCACTGAGCAGGGGCTGCGTGGGGCCTGGGGGCCCTGAAAAGGAGATGGGGACTGGGGAAGGCAGGGGAGAAGGGAGAAGCCACTTCAGCTGGCTTAGTGATCTGCACATTCTAGAAGGCAAACTGCCCTAAGATAAGTTTAGCCTGGATGTTATTTAAAAATAATGTTTTCCAAACAAAACCACCTTCCAAGCACACATGAGCACGAAGCAGGTGTAGTCTAGCACTCTATAAATGAACACCTCAAGTGCAAAGCTGCTGCCTGCTAAACCTGGTGAAAGGAGAGAAAACCTGTTTTGGGTTTACTGTGTGACTTGGGGTGGGGGTGGTGAGGCTGCCTTCTCTACTTTAGTACAATGCCAGTCTGATGCTCATGGGTCTGTCTGTGTATTTAGCAATGTGGTGTTTGCTTCTTGTAGCCAGACCTGAAAAGTGTAACCTCCCCAAAGCGGAAGTCCTCGGGATTCTAGGGCTGACAAAGTCTATGAAGACCAAACTCCTGGGCTGTTTCTTATCTATCAGCTCCCCTGTACCTAGAGGCTTGTCCCTTACTCCAGTGACAGCCTCTTGGTGTACGTGACCTGCTTTCATACCCATTGGTTCCCATGCCTGGTTTCGCTCAGACCTTTTGGGAAATATAAATTCACAGTCTACGTGCAAAAGTGCTCAGACTCCGCAGTCAGTGCCCTGACTCCGCAGGGGGAGCCTGAGAGGTTTGACCCCTAGGTCAGTGGTTATTAAAACTAGTCTTGTATCAGACTCACCTGAGGGGCTTATTAAAGCCCAGATTGCTGGGGCCACCTGTGAGGTGGCTGATTTAGCATGACTGGGGCGGGGGCCTGAAAGTTCACTTTCCTAACACATTTCTGGAGGATTCTAATCTGCTGATGCATGGACCACACTCAGATCTCCTGAGCCGGGAAGTTTGCTGGAGGTAAGGGAGGTATTTTTGTCCCACTTTTGCAGATGGAGTTACCTGAGTGCAATTATCAGCAGAGCCGACACTGGCCAGGCTGTGGAACCAGAGAGGTGGTGTCAACTAGGGATGCTTTTGTTTGCAAGTAAGGGGTGCCTCCCAGTGAGTGAGGCAACACAGGCTGCACTTCTTCCTAATGGAGGACTGGAGGAAGATGATCGCAGCACAGGATCAGTGGCAAAGTGATACCCCACAACGACCCACACTCTTTTGCTTGGCTTTCTTGAGGTCTGATTAACAAAAATTATATATATTTAGGATAGAAAATACAAAATTTTGAGATGGGTGTGGTGGTGTCACACACCTGTAATACCAGCTACTTGGGAGGAGGCTTAGTCAGGAGGCTCACTTGAACCCAGGAGTTTGAGGCTAGTTTGGGCAACACAGTGAGACCCTGTCTCAAAAAACCTTTTTAGGGGATGTGACTCAAGTGGTAGATACCTGCCTAACAAGAAAAGTCCCTGAGATCAAACTCCATTACCACCAAAAACTAAATTTAAAAAATATATTTTGGCTGAAGCTATGGCTCAGGCAGTAAGAGTGCCTGCCTAGCAAGCACAAAGCCCTGAGTTCAAGTCCCAGTACTGCAAAAAAAAGAAAAATAAACATGTTTTGATATGTGAAATGCATTGTGAAATGATTACTATAACTAAGCCAATTCTCATCTCTATTCCCTCACATGATTCTTCTTTATTTTTATTTTTGGTGGTGGTGAGAACCCTTGAGATCTACTCTTAGCAGATTTCCAGTAGATAAAACCTTGTCATTAACCATGCTATACACTAGGTCTCCAGCATTTATTCATCATGTAACTGAAGGTTTCTGCCCTTTTACCAATCTCTCCTTTTCCCTCGTCCCCCAGTCTCCAGTAACCGCCATTCATGTCTCTGTTGCTCTGAGTTCAACTATTTTTTAGATTCCACGTGTAAATGAGATCATGCATTTGCCTTTCTGCAAATGGTTTATTTCACTTAGTACAATGTCTTCAAGGTTCACCTATGTTGTTGTAAATAGCAGGCTTTTCTTTTTTAAAGGTCAGATAATATTCTGGGGTGTGTGTGTGTGTCTTCCATTTTT